GTGTTATCTGGAATATAGAACTAAAAGAATTCATGGCTCCCAGGAAACAGGAAGACATATAAGGTAGACAAGCTTGGCATGAAGAATAATAAATGCAGATAAAGAAACTTGAATCTCTGCCTACAGGAGAGAGGAAATTCATGAAGGTGTTTAGGCAGGAGATGATCAAGTCAAGCTTGCATTTTAGAAAAATCTCTTTGGAGACAGTTTACTAAATGGATCAGAAGGGGTAATGTTAGAGTCAGAAACAACCTTATAGTAGCCAAAGGAAAAGACGAAACATTGAAGGAAATATCAGCAACAGGAATAAAGACCTTGCAAAACATTTAGGGATGAATGAATGTTTGGTGTCTGTGTAGCTATAGAAGAAACTCGTGCCACCATCCCTATTAGGAAAGGTCTGGGGGGCTTCCTGGTAAAGGACAGTAGCCTGCTGTGCTTGTATACTCTGATGCTCAGGTAGAGACAAGGGCAAGGGTTGTAGTTTGGAGGTCAAGGTAGAGGTGAGGTTGCAAATGAAGAGTGGTTAGAATGAAAAAAAGCAGTAAAGAAAGGACAGAATCATTCCAAATGCTTTTGTAACCGCAAAACCTAAAAAGGTAAAATAAATGTAACCTATAGAGGAGGTAGAGAAAGAAACCCGATATCTGTATTTGTTATATAGCAAAGAGTCTTATCATTGGTAGACAAGGAGTAGAAAGTTTCAAGGAAGATGTTGTGAAATGTCATGAGATGTTTTACTTGACAGATTAATCAAGAAAGATAAGTATTAGGGCCACGCATTAGATTTGAGGCATCTGGAAGCTAGGTGATTCTTTTCTTATATCCAGCCATTAAGAAGTAAGGGGCAAAGGCAATGTGCATTGTGTTTTGTACAGTAATTGGGAAGTTAGATTTCAATGTACCAAGGTCATATTTGTTACTATCAAGAAGCTCGCATGTATGGGGCTGGGGATGTGGCTCAAGCGGTAGCGCGCTGGAGAAGGTCCAATAGTGACAGTGTCATTATGAAGGGAATTGAATTTGATGGGAGATCTGAGAAAGGCAAGGAAAAGAATAAATATAGATTCAGATAAATGAGCTGATAGAAAAGGCTGAAAGAAGAAACATGCTTGATCTGGGTGAATTTATCAGTAAACCAACAAGAGTGGGGATGGGTAGAATGTTTGAGAAAGAAAGAATAGGAAATGGAGCTGGATTAAAAAACAAACAAACAAACAAAACAAAACAAAACAGAACAACAACAACAACAACAAAAAAAAAAACAAATAAGAGAACCAGGTCTAAAATGTCACTAATCCCTAAAATGGATTGAGTTTTTGGAGCAAATCTACAATCCCCATTTTAAACCAGCTGAGGGAGCCCTTCTGCTGGAACTCACTGTAGCAAAAATGTCAAAATGAAAGGGAGGACAGAATTAAGTGTAACATTGTTTTTAGAGGTGCACATGATTTTATGTTAAACAGTAGGAAATGGGGTGGGTGTTGGATTTTTTTTTAAAGACTGAACACATACTAAAAAGGGGCATGCAATTTAAATCTCTATAATCAGGGATATCAAATCTCTGTGACCTTTTTATCTTAATCCTGTCCTAGAAGCTTTTTGACAACTGGCTTTCTTAGCAAATTACAGGCTATTGATTAACAAGGTCCAACTGAGCCTGGAGTGAAAATGTCTTAGAGCTGACAGACAAGTTTGGTTTCTCATATATCCAAAGACAGGGTCATGTATCTCTCCAAGGGTTAAGATGTCTAAGTTTTACTATGGAAATTGAGAATATCAACCTGAACTCCTTCCAACTCCCAGGAGTAGCCAAAATAAGGCATAAGGGAAGATAATGGATTCTGTAACTGCTCCTCTTCAATATTGAATCAATATTGAAAATACAGAAAATCCATTTTGTTTTTTAAGTAGTAGGAAAAAATATATGTGTATGTGTGCATGGATTGCAGTGGCATAGGCCCTTGATAAATGCTTCATCAGAAGAGCACTCAGAGCTGGGTGTGGTGGCACACACCTGTAATCCCAGCTGCTGCTCTGCAGGCTGAGGGACAAGGATAGCAAGTTCAAAACCAGCCTTAGCAACTTATCGAGGCTCTGTCTCAAAATAAAAAATTGAAAAAGGGCTGGGAGTATGGCTCAGGGGTTAAATACTCCTTGGTACCAAAAAAAGAAAAAGAAAAAAAAGCACTCAGTGAAAGGTGTGTTAATGAATTTCTGTATGTAATTCTTTTTTTTTTTTGGTTGGTTTGTGAGGACCCAAGCTTCAGAGTTAAGAGGAAAGACCAGGAGAAAAATAAAAACCTGTCTTTGAAAATTTGTGAAAATGAAATATAATATTGAGACCGAATGAAAATTTTCCAGAGAAAGAAACCTGATATCTGATTTTAGGATTAACAATGCCCCAATCTTGAGGTCTTGAATGAAGCAGTATTGCAGTAGACCACATAAAAATGTTTTACAGGAATTTGTATCTTTTTCTTAAAAGGAAAGAATCTAATTTTGTGGTAAAATTTTTTAAAGGTAGGTATAAATTATGTTGTTTGTTCATTGTTTCAAAGTTTGGGAGTGGGAGGATGGTCAGTCTATACCTTTGGAGAAAAATACCTCTGCAGTGATTACGTACAAAACACAATCAAAAGGAGACAATCACAGGAAACACTGATTTTTCATAATGAGTAAACAAACCAACCAACCCTTTCCCCCACTTCCCCCTCACACACAGTCATTCCATCAACAAAGCTTTTAGAGCTCGGGAGAAATGTATGCTTCCTCGAAATGTGGTTCTCATTAAAAGCACTTTCACAGGATGAAGTTAGATGTAAGAAGTCTGAAGTCACTCAGAAATACAGTTATGTCCATTACCCTCCAATTACCAAGGAAGAAAAGTGAACTTAGAAATGTTATAAGAGTGTTTTCTGCTAATCCTCAGCTATGATTCTGGTAAGAATGTTGGCCTGAAAACTACAACTGCCAGAGGAAGGATGTGGAAGAGGAGGTGGGCAGAAATTTAATTCCTATGTTGTTGACATTCGATCTGACTCTGGGATTCACTTTTCAGGGTCCTGCAAATTCACTGAAGAATATGCAAGCACAATATGTACCTAAATGATCAGTATACTCCATGGTGAAAAGTATGTGGGTCACTCCCAGAGTTAATTATTTAAAAACTGTTCTGACTGGTGGATCTTTCTGGTTTGTGAGTCTGTTCACAGTCAAGTCAATTGGGCATATTGCCACAGGCATTGAATGGAGAATGTTTAGAGGCAAATCTTGGATGCAATTAGCAGGGCTGGGAAGTGGCAGAAATTCAGTAATGGATAAAGCGGCTCTTTGGGACAGTGGGAGAAAGGGTCAAAGTGCTGTTTTGAAATAGTCTTTGCAATTTTTGTCCCAGTGTCTAAGTTTTGAAGTAGGCAATAGAGACAAAGAAACTTGTAGGTTCGGGAATATACTGATCAAGTTTTAAAAGCCTTGATGGATTATATATTTTTTAGTTGGAACTGCTCTTGGGAAAGCTCTAGATTGGAGTAAGGAAATCTGGATCCTAAGCAAATCATGTAAAAGATAAGATTTTTAGCATCTTCATCTGTAAAACAAAAACAGGGTACCAAAGGCTAGCCAGGAGAGGCAATGTATTGCAAGTTAAATCCTGATTTATAAAACCTACTTTATATTGGAGGGATTCTTCTTGACGTACTATTGAATGGGTAGTTACAGGCTAAAATAAATTTAAAGAATTCAATTTAGAAGATGTTTTCTAATCTAAACTTATAACAACTATACATGAGAATAGCCTATAGAATTTTACTCAATTTAATTATTAAGGTTTTTTTATTGATATCCATCATACTTTAATAGTTTGCATAATATTTAATTTTTAAAACTACTTCAGGTCAACCACATGAATCAGGATTTTTACAGTGAGGCTATAGACAGATATATAAGATTTCATAAAAATCCTAAACACATGTGCAAAATTTTGTAGACCCAGACATAGAGAAAGGGTGTCCAAGACTTGATTCACTTTCTCAAAAGCTAAATTAAAGTGGTATGAGCACAAGTCATCTCATTCTGGATGGGAGACAGTAAAGTCCAGGTGTTAAGCTGACATATAAAGGAACTCAAAGAGACCATGTGTAATCCACAATGACCCTGACATCCCGTGACCCTCCCCTTCCTGATGCTGCACTGCCTGTGTGTGTCCATAATATTGCAGTAGGAGGGTGGTTACAAAACATTTCTTATTAGATTTTGATATTTGAAGAAACCACTGTCAATTTTTTTTTGGTTTTCCATGCCAAGTCTCCACGACTCTCACATTTTTATTAGACAGAATAAACCACGTTATTCGTCCCTTTTTAAATCTACAGCTGGGTCTGGAGGTAAGTTGTATTTTGTTTTTGTTTTTGTCTTTTTAAGATGAATTATGCAGTGATAAGGAAGAAAAGACCAAAGAAAATCATAAATGTTTAATTATTCAAACACACCTTTCCTTGAAGGGCTCAAACAATGGCTAGGGAATCATCCAATTTCTGTGGATGCATTTTTAGTTCTGTTTTATATCAAGTGTTTGTGTGGTCACATTATCATTCAAGAGCAGACATTTTCATGGTCTTTCAAATTCTGGTTGAGCAAGAAATAACCCAGTGGGAAGAACGGAGCACTAATTTGAGGAAATAGACAGGAGCCAGAGGCAGTGGTAAGAGCTATGTTGGACTATTGGTAGCCAGAAAATCAAAGAAGTATACATAGATGCTGGTTCCCCTAGGCAAAGCGGGATGCTGGGGATCTTTACCCAAGAGCCTCTGGCATGGAAAACACAAAGCTTCTTTCATAAACTGTATGCTAACTCAGGCTCTGTGCAACCAGCAGGAAAAAAATGGGGCATGAAATGCAAGACAAACAGAAGTACTAATTCCACTAGAACTGAAAGTTGATTCTAGACACTGAAAGAATTCTTGGAATTTAACACTTTTGCTCTTTTTTTTTCATTACAGATGCTGCACAACAAACATGTCATGGTTCGTGTGGGAGGAGGATGGGAGACTTTTGCAGGGTATTTGTTGAAACATGACCCCTGCCGAATGCTGCAGATCTCCCGTGTGGATGGCAAGACATCCCCCATCCAGAGTAAATCTCCAACCCTTAAGGACATGAATCCTGATAATTACTTGGTGGTCTCTGCCAACTATAAGGCTAAGAAGGAGATTAAATGAAACTAATTGGTTATGACAAGGGGACTCTCAGAATGGCCTATATCCACTTCTCCAGTGTAGTCAGTTTAGTTCACATGCTCTGAAAACTACTTTGGAAAAAGGCGTAACAGAAAGAAAAAAAAAATGTCATCATAATGCAAAATGTTCAAAGAGTAGCACTATTTATTTTCAATGCTTCTGTAGAAAATGACCTATTCAAAGAAATTCTAAACTCAAATTTCAATTAGATGAGTTATAGACAAATTATTATTTGTCAATACGTGAGCATAGTATTTAGAACACAATATTAGGAACACAATTCTAGCTATAGATGCTCAAGATAAAACTTTCAGGAGAAATTATTTAGGATTTGAAGATAAGTCAACAGAAAGTGCCTGCTGTATGTTGTGAGTAAAAGCACCCCAGACATTTTTATAATTGCAGAATTTTTTAAGCTATTTTTTACAAAATAACAATTTGTGTGATAATGTGCTACTAAAAAATATCCAATGACATTATAAATAAGTTCAGAGGACTCAGAACAGTAATACTTTACTGGAAAGGCCAAGTCAGAAAAGTTTACATTCACTTGGAAGATTGCCTTAAAGTTTATCTCTTATTTTTGACCAAATATCTGGGGTACTTTTGGAAGTCTTCAAGACACCCCCTTAGCGAATAGTTTATGATTTCACACACACATAAGCATACATCTGTGTTTAGCATGACTTAGTGTAACTCACACACACAAGCTGACATACATTTATATTTTGATGAGTGAATTGTACGAATATTCATTACTTCATGTTATTTTAAAGCATTTTCTTAATTAAACTATATCTAAATCCTACATTGCTATGCTGTCTAGTAAATTCACTGTAGCTAATGATATTACAGACTTATGTATACCCTCATATACCTGGACAGGGCTGTTTTGTACCAATAAACAGCAAAGTATTGTCCTCACTGATTGAAAAAATTAAAAACATAAATTTTTAAAATGTTACTTGTTTCTCTATCAATGCTTCAATCTGAAATAAAGTTCATCTTCAAATGGCTTATTTCCCTGAGAGTTTTTAGGACAGTCAAATAATCTAACTTATCCTTCTTTCTTCACATCTTTCCTTGATCATAGGTTGGAAAGTTTAACTTTTAAGGACCTGGATGAGTAAAGTCCACCTGGATAAGCCTCCAAAAAGGTCATTAACTTGATCACATTTACAAAATCTCCTTTGGTATAGAAAATTATATATTTATGCATCCTTAGAATTAGGGCAGAAACATATTTTGGGGAAGAGGAGGATTATTAGTCCTATACCACATCTAAAATCATCTTTTACATATTGTTAAGAAAATGGTTACAGCATGGGGTCCAGCTCCTAACTAATCAGTACTGAAAAGGGATGTGGGGAGATGAGACTGTGTTCAGAAGAGAATGAAGAAATGTAAATGGCTCTTGCTGACTCCTGAGTGAAGACTGGCCAGGCAGTGGACTGAACTGGGCTAGTATCATCTTATTCTCAGCTAGAAGTAAGATCCAGGAGAGCGTGATGGAGAAGATGGGTCCTATCCATGTAAATAAGGACTCCAAGTCAATATAATCTAGAAACCTGAATGATAATAACAGAGGGGAAATATCCAAAAAATGAAGTCCAGGTAAATAAACAGTAAAAAGAACACAGCCAGAAATGAGTCCAGCACAAGGAGCAGATTGAGCTGGTTCTGGAGCTATTCTGTGAACCACTTTTACTGTATTATTTCTCCTACTGTGGGATGGAGAAATCCTGTTCAGTTCCTAAACTGACTCATCCACACCCGAAGAATGACTTCAGAAACTCTCAAAGTATTCAGTTTGGACTGTTTGGAAATTAGTACGGGAACTGTTAGATGTCTTGCCTACAGATTTTTTGTAATAGCCTGAAGGATAGATGGAAGGTGAATGGACAGAAACGTCTAGCCATCAATGCAGCTCAAAGGAAAGAACTTCTTAATAAAAATTAAGATGCAATGCCCACTTCATGAAGTGGTGGGCATTGTGTCACTGAAAAGACAATTGCAATGTTCTGCCCTTAAAATATGAAGGGCATTAAACTGAAACTCAGCATAAGCTAAGTACGGTCTTACAAAGTTAGCCACTGAAGTTCAGGATATAACAAAGATGTCACATCAATATCAAGGAATTTATGCACATTTAGTTCTTAAACCAGAGCAGTCCTATTTTGAGACAATATTTGTAAAAGGAGGCACACCCAATTGTTGGAACAAAAAAACACAGTTGTTGGAACACAGATGATTCAAAATAAAAAATTTTGGTATACACACAAGTGCTTTGTGTCAGTGTTATTTAGAAAATCAAAGGAAAGGGCCTCATTACCATACATGAACCAGCTTAGAGCATATACATCATTTAAAGCTTGCCTGGAGATGTTAAAAAAATATGCCTTAATTCTCAAATTAGATAGGCAAACATATCTATCTGCATTTTGCTGATCTATTTATGCAAAAATTACTTTTCAAAACTCACAAGATACACTTTTATTTTCTAAGGACAGAACATAATTATCAGTGAAAAATAAACTAGTCAAACTTTTGGAAAAAGAAAAATTCACAGCTTATATCAATTCTCCTAGGATACCCAAGATGATAGGCCCTCTACTATACCATAATTTCTCTTAAAAAACTAGGCTAATAACATCATTTCTCCCTTACAGTATAAACTAAGAAGTATGCCCATGTATAAATTTAGAGATTTTATGAACAGTCATTAGCTTGCTTGCTGTTGATAATCCCAAATAAACGAAAGTGTCTCTAACCACCAACACATGTTCTAATTATTTAAGATGTATTAAAGATAGGATTTTGGGTAAACAGAGATGGTCAAAGCCAGATTTTATATTAAAAATGTATATTTATATACTCCAAAGGCAATACAGAATTTATAACAAAACCATGTGGTAAAACTGTTAAATCACATTCTGAATATGATTGGTCAAACAACAGAATCACATACCGATGTTTTAAAAACATGCAATGTGTCATAAAGGAGCTGTGTAATAACAGAGTTTTTTATTAGCCATATTAATAGTTCAATGAATCAAATTAAGATTTGGTTTAAACATTTTACATAACATGATAGCAACATATGTGCATCTTACTGCTCCAGTTTTTAGTATTCTGGACAGGGACTTTGAATGGCATATTAATCATTATAATGTTATTTAAGTGATAAATCAGAGAAAATTCCCTCCTATTTATGGTTTTCACAGGAACTGATCCATAACTTTATGAGGAAAATGCATTGTGTGTATTTTAAAAGTCACTTACTAGTTTCTTATCAAGCATCTAGCTTCCCCTTTTGTCTTCATCTTCCTAACAATATTCTTAATATCTGAGTACCACCATTTTGTCCCTGTAATGCTTGTGTTTTGAGGAAAGTGGGCCACACCATGGAGACAGGTCATGATGGACAGGAACAGCATATACTGTTTTCCCCAGAAGCAATACAGCAACACCTTCCTCTTTCTCACATAACATCTATTGTGATAAAACTGCTGTTAGAAATACAGTGCTGTCCCGTGAAGTAATCATTTGTTTGTACACCAAGCTCTACTTCTTCAAGACACAGTGAAGGGAAAATCGTTCTTGTTATATTAACAGAGGAGGAAGGCTAAGTGGATACTTTAGTTCTGTATCCATTCAGCTATTAATGATCCTTTTTCTGTTTGTGTGGAGAAATTAATCATATAAAGTCAAAACTTGGGTTTCTAAAATAAAATTCAATGATTTCACTATCCTTGGGCTGGGATGTGGCTCAAGCGGTAATGCACTCACCTGGCATGCGCGGGGTGCTGGGTTCGATCCTCAGCACCACATAAAATAAAGATGTTGTGTCCACCAAAAACTGAAAAATATATATTAAAAAATTCTCTCTCTCTCTTAAAAAAAAAAAGTAACATGTACAATTGCATTGCAATACAATAGAAGCCTGTAGGAGGGATGAGTGAAATAGTGGCTCAGTTTTCCTTCTGTAAATCAAGAGGGGTGGTCTATTTAATTTATAGCCTCTATTGGCAATTAGGATCTAGATATTCTAATTTAGGGCTCAGATATGTGACCCTGCCATTTAGAAGAGTCAGCATCCATGATAGTTAATAGTAATTCTTCTATTTTAGCTTATTATGTATCAAAAAGAAAAATAAAATACTATTAACCTTAAGCTCTTAATGAATAAAAATCAAAAAATTTATGTCTATGCTTCATATAGAATTACCTAATATTTTTATGTTTGAAGTAGAATTTTTAAAATACTGTATGTACATGTTTTTTAAATACTGTACGTACATCTTTCTTACATTCATACTTGCCTTGGCAATTTTACAACTGTATGAATCGTATAAGTATTCTTTAATAAATACAAAAGAATAAAAATGCTTATGAACAAATACATTCTCTCTCATAATTCATCCAGATTCTTTAGCTCATTAATTTCTACATAGAGTTTTAAAGAGCTTAGTCTGACATTACACAATAGTACATCACTGCCCTCTGATGGTATGACTAATATATAATTTTAAATTCAGCAAAGAAAGCCTTTATTATAATGTAAAATGATCTGTAAATTTTATAAGCTATAGAAATATAAAATAAATAGAGATTCAACATTTACCTATAAATATTCATTACTAAGTTATAAAAATGTATAGCATTCTTCACATAAGCCCTTCAAACGAATTCTCAAGATGTTCCCTGATGATCATGTTAAAGGCACTAAGTCCATAAGTTTGAGCAAAAGATTTCAAATGTAGTAAAATAAAAACAGATATAAGGTCATGCAGCACAACTATAAGCAGGTAGGTCATTTTATAAAGGAAGGAACTATAATTGCAAGTTTTAATATTAGAGGTATATGCAGGAGTTTTACATGTAACGTATATATGCTATTTAAATCTGTACACATATTTTTGTGATTCTGGAAATTGAACTCTGTGCCTCACACAAGGTAGGCAAGTACTCTTTACCCTGTGCTACACCCCAGCCTTAGATCCATATTTTAACTATGAAAAAATAAATCACTTCTATAGAAGAGCAAACATAGGAAAATAAGAATTTAATGAAAGGTCTCACTAATTCCTAAGCTTGAAAATCAAGTTTTTCCAATACCTTTAGTACGGACTTAGCACTGCACTTGAGTGCACTAATGTTACAAAGTTTGACTCTTCTTGTATTCAAAGAGAAGAAATTAAATTAAGGAATTCCATTTGATTGCAGATGTTGAACAACTACTGGCAGTAGACTCTCCCATTCATGTCATGCTTTATGAAACTGTCCACTAGAAAAGACAAAAATAGAGAAAAGTAATTTTTTACTTAAAACTAGGTCACAAAATTTTAATTAAAAATATGTAAAAATAATAATATGGGACATAGAAATGCAAAATGATTTTTGAAATTCTTTTTAATTATTTTATTTACTTATTTTTATGTGGTACTAAGGATTGAACCCAGTGTCTCACACATGCTAGGCAAGTGCTCTACTACTGAGCTATAGCTCTAAACCTGCAACATGATTTTTATGATTAACAACTAATCATTAAACTTTGCATTATGGTCAAAAGTCTGAGATAACATGATGGTTTAAAAGCATAAAAAGACAAAATAACTAAGCAAATCAATGGGTACATGCAGTACAATTACCAAGAGATTTGAGGATTAAGATACTCTCTCTACCTTGTATTTTCTCTTCTTTTATCCCTGAGCTTCCAAAATAATGTTTTGAATGCCAGGCTCTGGATGTGCTGTAGGACCATGCCCATTAAAGCCAGTGTGTTGGGGGCAGAAATGATTATCCTGAGGGAAAAGAACCCAAAGTAGGCAGCAAGAGTGGTTTCTGAGAGTAAGTCACTCTTTTTGAGAAAAATATCTCTGCCACTGTCTAGCTTGATGGCCCCAAGAATCATTTTTATTCAGTAAGAAAGATTTCTTATAAGAGCAGCAATGAACTTCTATATTTCCCCTCCCTACTTTTCCTTGTTATGGGTTAGTATCAGAGAGAACATTCAACCTTTGGTTTTTGGGGACTGGTTTATTCCATTTAGCATGATATTCTCCAGTTCCATCCATCTACTGGCAAATGCCATAATTTCACTCTTTATAGATGAGTAATATTCTATCGTTTTAGTTATTCAGAATTTACTGGAATGTTTAAAAATAAATAGATAATTATTAAAATTCTTCCCTTTAAAACAATGTTCAAGACCCTATGGTGATGAAGTAATCACAATAGAAACTTGGGTCAAAGGTCACCTGAATGGAAATCTGCCTCTAGAATTGAAGGACTTGGTCTAATCCAGTTCTGCAAAGATGTGAGTGATGCAGAGACTGTACCAGCTTTGGGAACTTTCTCTGCTGATAGAATGTGGCTAATAATTTTTACCTAGAGCTCCTATAAGAGATGCCAGATTGAATTCTAAGCTAATATTTTGCTGATTTTTATCCCAAGGAAACATCACCGTGGCAACTTGCATTGTAATAGATGAACAGTAGTAGGTTAAATTGAATACTTTTAAAGCAAATTCTTCTTGGTCCTGTAGAAGAGCCAAACATTTATTTACCTGTTCCTGAAATTACACATGCTTACTAAATAGGATGAATAAAGAGGCTAGAGACTTTGCTATAGTGTCATTTTGAAAAATCACTAATAAATACTTTTTGCATTGTGTTAAAAAAAAAAGCAGCACACACACACACACACACACAAACAAAACAAAGAACACTAAATTTAAGACTGGAGATGTTTTCTACTTAAAACACTTTGAAGGGGCAGCAGTAATCTAATATAATCTATATACTTCAGAGTATGAAATTTTGGATTTAATTAAATAAGTCCTTTTCTTTCTTAGAGTTTAAAAAGCAGATGTTAAATTTACTAGGTTAGAACATGTAAAATAAGGATCTTCTTAATTCAGACTGTATGTAGATTAAAGTATCCTTTTCTTATAACAGTCTATGTGAATTTAACTAAGTATCTCTATTTCAATGGAACAGAGGATCTCAACATTATTTCCAGTTCTAAAATTTACCATTCATATTTTTATTTGTTTTTGATAACCTTACATTGAATTACACCTAGTAATATAGCTCTTTATCTCAACAGAATATTGAAATTGATTCTAATGAAGTTTTGACCTTGTCATCTCCCAACTCTGCACTAGATTTATTTTGCTTTTATAAAGATATAAAAATAACAGCACAATGATCACGTTATATATCTTAACATTAAAATCAATTTTTATACATTGTTAAAAATTCATGATAAAGAAAGAAAAAAAAGTAATTTCATTAATTGAAACTAAATGGAGTAACTTACAATGCTAAAATAACAAAGATATAACTCTTATTTCTACATGATATTCCTGAGCTAGAATCAATTCTGCCCTAACGATGCTCCCCTCAAGTACATGTCCCTCAATTTAGGGGTATACAGATATGTAGGGTGGAGGGAGGTGGTGTCTAGGAAGAGTGTAGTTTTAGAGCAAAACCAAAATTGAATTGCAAAGAAAATGAAAAGACCTAAAAACCACTCATAAATCACTGACAAATTAAATATAAATGAAATTGAGGATATTGTCCCTTTCACAAATAGACTTATTTTAGAAAAGTACTTCTTTAAAAGCAAACCAAGAATAAATCTTAATATATGAATCATTATCCTGAGTTATAAAATATAAGATAAAACTTTTCCAATGCTGCTACACAGTAAAGACTCCAGAATTCAGGAAGCTTGAATAATTTCTCCACAGTTATATACCCTGTATCTATCTCCCTTTGCAAAAGGTACATTAGGAGGAATGTGTGCAGAGCTCACACCTGTACACTCTGTGGTCAGAATTAACACTTACATAACTATGACAATGAGTGGCAATGGGAAGATCAACAATCCCAAATCATAGAGTAAAAAAATTTAGACTACAAAACAGAATTTAATGATTGATGTGTAAATGGAGATTATAAATACTGTCTGTCAAAATGGCAGTGAATTTGGATTTTTACATTGTTCTTCATACTTTTCTATGTTGCCTGAATTTTTGACACATTTAAGTTTATATTAAGTGAATGTATTAAAATATAGTAATATGAAAAGTGTACTATTTTCTCTTTAGAACAAAAAAACAGTAATCTATCCTAATGAATGTTAAAATAAATTGACATTTCTTTCAACACATACCTACTTTTAAATTACTTCAATTTTTTCTCATAATGCATTTTCAGAGGAAATTATTGAATAGATTGCTACTTAAGTTTTGTAAAATACCAGTTAAATTAAGTCTTAAGTAAACTTTAATACTTACTCTAAGTCCTCCTGCTGGTGGGGGCCCAGATGTGGCGATTTGTTTTTCTATTTTTTCCTTTTTCTTTCTCTTTTCTTCCACAGACTGGACATCCAAAATTCCCCGAGATGCAGCCTGTAAGTAATTTAAAAAGAGGTATAAAAAAATGTTGGTAATTCTGCTGTCTAAAATGTGTGTGTGTGTGTGTGTGTGTGTGTGTTTAGGTTTTTCTTTGGGGCTAGAAAGTTGGTTTATTTTGGTAACAAAGAACATTTGTACAACAGCCTTATGTAAAATGCACTGCTATTTCTTCATTGAATATTTTGCAACCATACACAATTTTCCCCTAAACTTGCTTCATATTTGTTACTGTTTTATAAAACATGGCTATTTTGTCCCAAGGAGGAATATTATTATAAGAGCATCTAAACTTGCAGAAAACATCTGTAGGCTAATCCTCATATATTAAATGATGTAAACATATCAATGTAACTGAGAAATACAGAAATTATATTTTAAGTGATTATCTTTAGACTCATATTTTTAGGATATTGGACACCACTTATATTACAGAATACTACCACTAATAATAAACATCTATAAAAAGTGAAATACAAAATTATGTAAGTAGGCATAATTTTAGTTTTAATCTTACCTCCTTTTGTCTTCTCTCTGCAGCCTCTGCAAGCTTTGCTCTTTTCTCTGCCTAAAGAAAATACGTAAAAATAAAAAAAAACAAACCTCAAAACCAAACATTATTACGTACAAATTTTATGACTGTTATAAGTAGTATAATTACAAAAACATTCAGTACTGACCCGAAACATTTCACAATTAGTGCTATTTTTCAAACTAGGAATGGTTTGTATCTGTAGCCCTAGCTACTCAGGAGGCTGAGACAGGAGGATCCCTTGAATTCAGGAGTTTAGGACAAGCCTGGGAAACATAGGGAGACCTTGTCCCTCCCAGCCAAAACAAAACAACAAAAATACCAATATTAGAAAATTTATAAAATATTCAGCTTTCTGAATTTCATATTCCAAATCAAAGCACCTTCAAATTAGGGCATGATAAAATAATATAAGCAGTATGTACTATATAATAATGTTATTTTCTTTTTGAAAAAAGGGCTTGTAAACAGGGCAATAATAAAACAAGTAGTATTAAAATTACAAGGAGGCAGATACACAGTTTGGAGCTGCCAGTTAAAAAGGGAGAATGGAATAGGCAGGTGTTTTCAGGAAAGATTCCTGAATGAAATGGACTAATACTGTGTTGGATAAGAACAAGAAGTAAACTTATGAGTGATAATGTTCCAAGCTGGAAAACAGTGAATATTATTTTTCTATACCATGTATTATTTAGTTGTAAAATATTTAAATATATAAGTCAATAAATAGCATTCTCTTGGGGAATGGTATTAATAATTTGTCTTCCATGCCATGATGTATTTATTCATCCATTGGACAAATCATTGAGTACCACCATTGCCTTATGAACCTTTCTAGGTGCTGGGAATACAGCAGTGAAAACACAGATGAACATAAGTTGCAATGAGGGCACAGAAAGGAATGTAATCAAGTAAATAAATGTCAGAGTTCAGTGCATGTTTGGGGAAAACATCAATGGTATTGTGAATAAATGAGGAAAGGAGGTGCAGGCGGTATGGTGGGGAATACATTTACTTATCTCAGGAAAAACTTCACCTATATAGTGACAGCCAACAGTGAGTGGTTATCAAGGGAAGAGGGTACAACCCAGGGATGGGGGTGGGTGGGTGCAGGGCTTAACAAATGCTGACAGAGTGGCATTTTTATCAAGAGCGAGATAAACAAAATTAACCTCATTTAAAAGCAAAAGCAGCAACTAAAACAAGTTGATATTTCATACATCACATGATCTTTCAGTACCTATAACCTAATGGATGAACAGCTAAAATATTTCATTTTTTCAACTCATTTTTAGCTACACCGAAGAAATGAGAGGAATTTAGTTTTTTGTTGTTGTTGTTGCTTTCGTCGTTGTTGTTGTTGTTTTGTTATTAATTCCCTATAAGAAAGACTAATGTAAATATACTGTTAACAATAAAAAGCTACAAGTACAAATGTATTCTACTACATATTCCCTCCTCAAATTTGAATTTTAGATAAACGACAACTATTTTTATATAGATACATACCAAATATTGCATGGAATAAATCTATATTAAAATGTATTCTTTGTTTATCTTAAATTCAGATTACCTGGGCGTCCAGTATTTTTGTTAAATATGGCACTCTTACACATTGTACACGCTATTCTACACACAATATTTTTAAAAGGAAGATTTTTTTTTTTTTCAAATGAAATAAACACTAAAAGGAAATCATTGATGAATAAAATCTCCAAAAAAGAGCACCTTCTTTAAAGAGATCGTATAGACACATGAAAAGACACATCTCTTAGTACAGTGAGGCACTTCACGGAGGTAATTTTCTTTTTGCACCCTAACTTCATCCACTGCACCTCCAAGACCGGTCCATACACAGCACCTCCTGTGTATGTATGCCACTGTCCAACAAACTCAATTTTGCCAGTCGGCCAAAGGTAAAAACTGGAGAGGGCAACAAGGAGGCGGAAGCCTTGACCTCCCCGGTAAGGTCCCAAGGGTCCTTGGTAGAGGTTCACGCTTCCCTGTCACCCAGGTCCCCAGCGACCAGCTCCCAGCCAGTAAGTACAACCGCCTCCGGGCTGCACGCAGCTCAGGCCGCCTGCGCGCCCCAGAAAACAGGTGCGCGAGGCGCAGCGCTACTCACCGGGTCGGGCGTGGGAGGAGCGGAGTCCCCCGGGCACGGAAAACACAGCCCCATCCAGACACCTAGGGGGTCCGAGACCCCGCCCGCCCCAGAACAGGCGGCGCTAAATGCGCGATCCGACACGGGTCCCAGGCCTTCCGCGCTTGCCCCGCCTCCACCCTGGCCCCAGTGGCTCCTCTCGGCTCCACCCCCTGCGGCAACGCCCCACCCCCACCCCACGGCTCCTCCCGTCCAGTCCCTCCGCCCCCGCTCGGCCACGCCTATCCGCGGCAACGCCCCCACTATCTCCTTACCTGGTCCCGCCCCTGCGGCTCGGCTCCGCCCCTAGAGGCCAAGACCAGTAGCGGGTGCGTGCCGCTCGGACGTTGGAAAGCAGGGCCTGCAGACAAAACCTAGGTACAAGGAAACACCCGCTGTCCGCGGAGAAATGCTGGGCTGTGGATTTCAAAGCTCTTCCTGCTTCTCTTGCCTCTAGCTGTTTATACCTCTGGAGGGTTTTTACTGTTCTATGAGATGCGCCTCTGGCCTCCAAGAAATTAAAACCAAAAATTGAAAGACGAGGATAGCACACTTAGCTGGCTTTAATAGAAATTTCCACTAGTTCCTGATATTTGGGATTCATTTATCTTTCCAGGAGCAATGATAAAATTTCATCTATTAAGAAATATTTTAATGAAGTGCTTCTTAAATTTTAATAAGCATAAGAATAACCAGGGCATCTTATTAAAATGTAGATGCTGAATTAGAAAAGTTAGGATGAAAGTTTAGATTCATTTCAAGTACCTTAACAGACGACTGATCTCATCTTCACAACAATGCTTTCATTATTTTTTTTCTAGCATTCCTGCTCGTTGGAAAAATTTCAAACTTTTCAAAAAGAGGATATAAAGTGACAGTTAACATCTCAGAAACCACTGTTCACATTTTAATCTATATTCTTACAGGTTCATTTAATATAGATGAATAATTTACTTATAATGTGCACTTATTTTGATTGGGTTTTAATAAGCAAATGCAGCCATGAAATCACTTATTCGAGATGTGAAAGATTTCTATATGCCTCAGAAGTTGTATTGTACCCATTCATTCCCGACCACCCTTATATATCACATAGTTAGATCTAAGCAACAGATAATTTCACATTTCTATGGTATTTAAGAAGTTTCAGATATATGGGATATAAATATGTTAGTTTTGTATGTCACAATGTCTTTGAAATTCCCTCACGTCCATAAATGAAACAGTACCCCCTTCTTTTATTCTGTTACATGAAATTTTGTAAGATTAAAAGCAAATCTATAAAGAAAAAAGTGCATTACCTCTATTGCAAAATGTAAACTACCCATCTCTTACTCTTTATAACTACTCTTTAGAACTTTGTTTAGAAATCTTGAAATTCTAACTGCTGCCACTGTCTCACTGAGATATATGTACAACTTTTTCAAAAAGGAAAGTAAGTCTTTTCCCAGTTTTGTGTCCCAGAAGTATATTTGTATACTTAGTAACTTTCTCTTAGTAAATATCCAGAAGGGTGACACCTGTGGTCCTATCTTCATGGTACTTTAATGTATAGGAGGCATTTGGCTATAAGATACAGCTCTTTGCTCATTAAAAGATGTGTTATTCTTTCCTTTAGATAAGAACAATCAACATATGGAATGTATCTGCTGGGATATATGCTGTGGTAAGATCCCCCCCCCCCCAACCACCACCACCACTGACATCTCTTTAGCAGAGTGCCTGTGATACATAAGGTTAATGTTTATTCAGTGATAAAAGTTTTTTTGTTCTTTTTTTTCTTTCTTTTTCTGCCTTTGTGGAGAGATTTTCTGCATAGAAAGGAAATTTTGTTTTTAATTATTATTAAAAAATGCTTTCTACATATTGCATATTTTCCAAGCACTTTCCATTATTTCTCCACAGATTTGCCTATTGATGTGTGTGTACGGGTTGATTTCAATTTTTGGCTATTAGGAATAAACATTTTTATAAAATTATTTATACATATGTTTTAATTTTCCATGAGAAAAAATATAAAGATAAAATTGTTAGGTTAAATGATAACATTAGTTTAAATTACTAAAATTCCAACTAGGAATGTATTATGTATTGTGTGTGTGTGTGTGTGTGTGTGTGTGTGTTTGTATTGTATGGTACATTTAAAACCTTATCACATATTATTGTCATTCTTGGTATTTTCAATTCTTCAGTTTTAACAATGAGTTTATATTTCATTTTCTTGTACCATTTACATGAGAAATTTGCAGTTGTAATTTCTTTCCCTTCCTCTCCAAGATGTAAATTTTATCCTAGTCTTTTATCACTTCTACAAGCCAAAACTATCTTTCTCAAGGACCTGAGTGTTCTCTCTCTGAAATACAATATTCAAGAAAGATAGTACTCCTAACTCCTGGTCTCTACGGAAAGGTAGGATTTCCATCAGTACCAATAATGCAAACAGATGGTCCAAGTCGACCAACCTTTCAATGTTTTCCAGTCCTTTCCCTCTAAGACAGTTCAGTGCTTAACATCTCCCCTTCCTTTACTTTCAGGGGAATTGCCTTCTCTTTTCCTTTAATAAAATCTTCAGTGAGGACCTCCTTACCTATTTAACTCTTATCTGGTGAAAACTTTCTTTGACCTTGTTTTTTTGTTTGTTTCTTTTTATTGAAAAAAATGCAAATGGTTACATAAAGAATTGAGTGAAAACAAATATACAAAAAATGCATTTCTCTTTTTGACCCAAGTCGCAAATTTCTAACCTCCTTCTGAAAAGCTGCCAATGGCATTCAGTTTCAGTGTATAATTCAGGATACATTTAATTCACATACAAACACTGATAGTTGTACACACACACACACACACATACACATTTAAACTGAAATGGCAGAATTGTTTTTCAAAGTTGTCTTACATTCATAATAATGTATTAAAGAACACCTGTTGTGGGAGACTTGTGGAGGAGGTGCATAAAGAACAGACACACATATAGGGCAGGTGCAGACAGACAGAAGGATGGCAGAAAAAAGGACGCCTACCCCTCTCTGCTGTCATCTTTAATAACTCAAAATATTACATATTACCCACCACCAGTGACTATATTTTGATCAGTATTCCTTTAACACTGAGTGCTAGCTAACTGAGATAAGGTCCAGGTTAATGCAAACACAGAGCTTCTCTCCTTCAAATGATGTCACTATGTAAACCAGGTAGTGCATCCCCATAGTTATCCTAATAGTCTCATCAGGGAATAGCTAGGCATTCCAATCCTGGGAATCAGGGCACCAGTTACCCCCGGGAGTTTACTCATTGAGGAATGCTTTCCTGATATTTCCACAGTCAGAATACCTACAGCACCCCCCCCTTTTTTTTAGGGCCTTCTGGATAAGTAATATCTGTTTTCTCCTTAATTCTGGTGGGGGCAAAAATAGGGCAGACATTGACAGCAGCAAGCGCAACATAACAATCCCCAAAGCAGTAAACATCCACCTATGAATAATTGTTTGACCCAGGTGAAATTGGGTAACCACGAAGTTAGCCAATCCAACAGGTCTAAACCTCCATCATCTTGTTGGACCTTGTTAATGGTATCTTTAAGGTAATTTAACCCCCTTGAAATAGAATTACTGTTATCACTCAAATTGAAGCAACAAATATTATTAAACTCCTGACATCCTTTATGATGTAACAACAACAAATAATCAATAGCAACCCAATTATCAAGAATGGCTTTACAGTGTTGTTTTTGTTCCTTGTTAAGCATATTAATGGCCATAGAGTTATGATTAATACTAGACCATAGCACAGGCCAGCTTCATAGTGGTTTTGTAAGCCCCAACAACTAGTCTAGGGATACCCACTAAGGAAAATGTCAAAGCGTCAAATTCTGTCTTAGAGAAGATATACTGAGTCATTACAGTATATCAACGGGAATAGACCTCCATGAATACATTGTGCAGGATGGTGGCCCATTAAACCCTTCGAGGATGGTAAGAACACAGTTAATCTGTTAAGACAACAGTGGGTACCATGCAACATTTTTGCAGGTATATAATAATTTCAGCCAAGTGAACCCAGATATTATAATGGGTTCTAGAAGTCCAGGAGTCTGACTGAACTAAATTTCCCACAACTGGGGTACAACAGCAGAATAACATTACCATAAGAATCAAAACATTTATAGAGTTTTATGTGAGTTTAGCAAACAAAGCAGAAAGTAAGTTTTCAAGAGTACATTTTAACCGCATTTGAGTCAACAGATGTTGAGCTGAGGCTGTTAATGATTTTCTGTCCCCCCAAGTCACTGGAAGCCTAGAAGCTTGGGATCCTCTTTCAGTGTTTCTTATTTTTCCTCCTTTAATGTTTTCTCTCTTTCGAGGAGAGTGGTCATTGTCCTCTTGATTGGTGGGACTCTCCTCATCCAGGATCAAACAAAACTTGGGAATTGGGTTGAGAAGCTCCTGATGTCCATTCATAATTGTAATGATCTCATGCATCAACGTGGAGTCCAAACAGGACCTGTGGGTGTAAGTGTAGCAGTCTATCCTTTTTGCCAAGTTATCAGAGGCATAGGGTCTTGTCATCCTGGGTCTGAAACACTATGTTTTACATAAATATTTAGTAATAGCTGTTTGGGAATAAAACTTCTATCCAAAGTAGACAACTAATTGTGAATATTAACTTTGCATTGCATATTGAGCACATTAACTTTAAATAAAACAATATTTAAAGCAATATTAATATGAGAGGCTAGATTCCCACTTTTTAGTTTTAGTTTTAAAAGGCAAGTTTTAAGAGTATAATGCACTCATTTAATCAAAGTTTGTCCAATAGGATTATAAAGAATTTTATACTTTAAAATTATATTTCATTGATTACAAAATTGTGCAAAGGCATGAGATGTATATGCAGGGGCATTATTCATCTTTAAATGAATAGGCTTGCCCAATGTGGCAAAACAAAGCAATAAATGAGAAATGCAAGAAGATACCTTTTTTAGACCTGTGGGCATTAGCTTAAACAAACCCAAAATGGGTATTAATAAAAAACATAAAGAAAGGAGTGAGAATGAAAAGGGAGGGAAATGGGTAACATCTATTTACCAAAGTGCATTGGAATGTAGGCCCCATAGATTTATAAATTTCAACATAGGAGCCTGAAAGGGTACACAGTGAGAATAGTTGTTGACTATAGCATGAGCCTGTTGAGAAGAGATGAAAAACATTTTTATTAGTGATCAAGCATTTAATGAAAAAAATCCATGGGATTCCACAGTATCTGAAAATAAAGGATAAAGAGATTTCATGGTTTCATCTGTGTGAGTGTCACCCTCCACCAAAGTTTTAGAAATCTTGTGGCTGTGTACATAAGCAAGGAAGATGGGAGATGTACAAGGCGGTGCTGGAAAAGAGTTTAAAGGGTTAAAAAAAAGAGACAGTGAATTGGAATCCAAAGGAAGGCACTAACACAACCATGGAAATATGAGGCACAAGCTTAGTTATATATTGAGAATTTGTAATGACACTTAAAATAGTAGAAACCAATTTCAGCATCAGGATAATGGTAGCTAACTCAGCTTGCTGTGAAGAAATCTGAGGTAGGGTATTATAGTCCTTACCATTAATAAAAATAGATATACTTCTCTTTGTTTACCTCCACCCATATACACCATTATTCCATCTACAAGAGGAACAGTAGAAATTAAGGAAAAGGGATATAATTAAGGAACCTGACATAACAAAGAGAATTGTCCATCATGAAGCATGTTTAAATTAATAGGTGTAAAAATTTTGTTAATACAACTTGGTAATAGGTTAACTGTAAGTATTAGAGATATAAATTTTTCCCATAAATAAGGTATAAAACATGAATGTTCATGCCTGTTAAGGATAAAATTTTAATATGACCATTAGCAATTAATTGAGAATATATATCAATAAAAGGCAAAGTATTAAAGCCTGAAAATGAAGAGAATATAACCATTTTATTATATATAATTTCTTATTATGAATAGCAACAACTGTTGCAAAAGCATAAGGTTTTCCAACAAAAACTAATAATAATGGCATTTTAGATACAGGAAGTCGATCTACCATCACTGTTTTCATTAATTCTTTGTAGAGCTTGTTTTAAAGAAAGAGTCAAACAAGAAAAGAGGCATCATCCTGTTTCTCTAACAACTGGAAACAAAGGAAGAGATCAGCTTGGCATCAGCTGTAATTTTTAATTTAATTATTTAAGAAACCATACTTATGAAGACTAATCCCATTTAAGCTAAATTTAATTTACTCACTTTAATTATAACATAAAAACATAAAAAAAAACATGATTAACAGTATTAATCATCCTTTTTCTGCTGAAAAAAATTTTGAAGTTATGAATATTATATTATATCTCAGATATTTTTTAGAAATTAAGACTATTGTTTGGCCACCTAGAAAAACCCATGAGCCATAACCTTAAAGACATCTATATATTTATGTAATTATTTGATTTAAATTATTTGGATCTGTTTAATTCTTTAAATTTTAAATATTCTTAAAATATATAATATATAGACATAAGACAGATCTGTATAATTGGATATGTCAGATATAAGATCTTAAAACTATGGTGGACATTGAAATCATATAGCTAGTATTTGTGTCCTTTGTGGTTACTAGACTTATCCCTAACACACAGCCATGTTTATATCTTCCTAGGATTTATTAAAATAAATCTTTGAATGTATTTACGAGTTAACTCCGGAGAAATTGGACTTTGCATAAAGACAGAGTATAAAAACCTTTATAGTTAGAAACAAAACTAATCAGAAAAACATATCAACTTACATAGAATATTCAAAAACTTACATCACAGTAATATCAGCCTTTTTATCAGGTCCAATATACCTTTAACTCAGATAAGAAACAGTTCGAAACCTGTGAAATTCTTAAAGGGAAAAAAAAAAAAACTTTTTGAAGAAAGAAAACTTGCACATTTGAAATCTTCCTACTTTTTTCATTCCTTTTTGTGTTGCAATTTTAGGAAGAGGGAGGAGCTGGCTAAGAAAGCTGACTGAAAACAGATAAGATAGCCAGCCAAGTGGCTTGGATTTAAAAGTGACACTTTTTTCTTCTTTTTTACAAACTGTTTTTTTGCAACCCTAGTAAATCATATAAGAGCTGTAATTCACATTTTAAATACAAGGCTAGGAAAAGAAATCTCGCAGAAGTTAAAAAGTAAGTAAAATTGTTGTATCCATTCTTTCTAAGATTATTTCCTTAGAGCATGGTATTGCAGTTTATATTCTTTCTGGAGAGTTGCTTTTTTTCTTTTCTTTTCTTTTTTTTTTTTTGTTCTAAACCTTGCAAATCTTTTTTTTTTAATAGTTATGTTTTTAGTTGAAGTTGGACACAATACCTTTATTTTTACTTATTTATTTGTATGTGGTGCTGAGGACTGAACCCAGGCCCTTGAACCAGGCCCTTACATGTGCTAGACCAGTGCTCTACTGTTGAGCCACAACCCCCGCCCTAAACCTTGCAAATCTTGTAACAGTTTCCACACATGGTTGAACATAAGCAATGAGTTGTTGTGGATTGGAAAGGGCAGAGCATGGTAGCCACAGGGAGGTTTTGGATACTTGTTTATTTCTGTTTTCTTTTCCCTAAACTGGAGTGGCCCCTTAAGGCCATGTGTAAAGACATACCATAAAAGTATTTATTACCATGACATTACTATTGTGCCCGATAATCTTATAATTGACTGCTCATTAAAGCAAAAGTTTAATTCAGGTCTACTTTCAGTAATTAACAAACACGCTCCAGTAACAGTAGAGTCGAATCTTTTATCTTCCCTTTCATTTAAAAGTTGTTGCTGAGGATTGAACCCAGAATTTTCCCTATGTGAGGTAAACACTCTTTAAGCTGAGCTATGGCTCCTGTCCCTGGGAAACCTCACTCAGATGTCTTTAGTAGTAATCAAATCTATTTCAGTGCTCTCTCTAGTAGCCTGAAAGGATTTGTGAAATGAGGTCAAGAGGTCTCTGTTTGTATTGGAAACACTTGCATCATGGGATCCTGAGAGGGCTAGAGAAATTAGTTCCTCCTCCTTTTGTCTTGAGTGGGTGTGTGTGTGTGTGTGTGTGTGTGTGTGTGTGTGTGTGTTTTAAGGCAGTGACAAGGAAGCTTTATGAGTTACTGTTTTTAGTGATTTTTCTAATTTTCTAAAACAGTACATTGCAACTGGTTAAATAGAACAGAAGGTAATTGCTTATGCTCTGCTGACCAGCGAAATTTAACCCAGTGGAACCGATAGCTAAATCATTAAATTCCCCTTCCTCTGCAGCTTGATGCAAACACTCAATTAACTTGGATCTAGCTGGGGAGAAAAAGGCCCCTTGGCTGCTAGCACTACAGCATGTCTCTTTCACAGGTGCAGAAAGAGCTGAATAGGCAGGCAGTGAGGCAGAAGCCAGGTCAACAGCGTCCCTACAGCGATACCACACGTGCAAAATGGATATGGGGGAATGTGGTTCCTCATGCAGAATTTCACCTATTGTTTATCAGTCCTTTGAATGCAATGTCCCAGATCCTGGATTCCAGGGACAGGACAAATCATCTCCTACAGCAAGGCAGCCAGATCACTATCACAATATGTCCAGCCTTGCTGAGCAGTAAAAGTTCCACTCAGTGACACCGCAGCAGGTCAGACAAAGAATCTCCCATGGCCCAACTGATTTGGGATCCAGATGATGTAAGTAAGGACCAAGGCCCCCTCCAGCTGGCGTGAGCCACTCCCTTCCCCTGTTATCTGTTGGAAGTCCTGAGGGGTCTCTGTCTAATTTCCTTGTCCCAAACTCTCCGTGGACAGGGAGGACTTGTGGGATCTCCTGCGGTTGGACGCCAGCTGTTAAAGAACACCTGTGTGGGGAGAAATGTGGAAGAGTCACACAAAGAACAGACAGACAGACATACACACACACAGGGCAGGTGCAAACAAACAGAAATATGGAAGACAAAAGGATGCCTATCCCTCTCTGCTGTCATATTTACTAATCCCAAAATTTACATGTTACCCACCCACCAGTGACTACACTTTGACCAGTATTCCTTTAACCCTGAATGCTTGCTGACTGCGATGAGGTTGCAGTTAATGCAAACACAGAGCTTCTCTCCTTCAAAGATGTCACTGTGTAAACCAGGTAGTACATCCCCATAGTTATCTTAATAGCCTCAGCAGGGAATAGCTGGGCATTCCAATCCTGGGAATCAGCGCACCAGTTACCCCCCTGGGAGTTTGCTCACCAGGGGAACACTTCCCTGTCTATTTCCCCAGAATACCTACAATAACGGTTATTTGTACCTTGTCTTTTAGTCCTGATCAACCTACAGTTATTAATGTTAATTGATCTTTAAAATACAGTTTTGGGGTTTATTTGTTCCATTATCTGTTTCTAACTCCTTGTTTTTATAGTCATATTTCCATAGTTCCTTCTTTTCTCTTACTTGGGATTAATTTGGTCCCCCACCTCCATTTTCATAACATGGAAGATAAAATCATTCATCTTAGTTTTTTTTCCTCATTAAGAAGACCTATAATTTTTTCTTTACTATTGTAGCTATATTAACAATATAAAGCCTTGCATTTTCTACTTTTCAATGTGATGCTTCTTTGACTGACCCATACATTATTTTTTGTTTGATTTACAAATGCTGCCGACTTCCACATTTCTCACATGTGATTTCTTCATTAATTTCATAGTGATTGAAGACCACACTCTGTTATTTCAGTCCTGTGAAATTCACTACACCATACATTATGGTCCAGTAGATGGAATATTTTAATGCTTCATGTGCACTTAATATGTTTTGTGATGACACTGGGTAGAATATTCTATATATGTGAATTATGTCAAGTTGTTGCATCAATTGCCAGGAAATGAGTGTTTAGTTTTTAATTATAATTGTGGAATTGTTTGAGTTCTGTCAGATTTTGTTTGTTTTGATGATTTGTTATTGGAAGCACGTGCAATTATTATGTCTTTATGATGAATTGACCCTTTTACTATTACAAGTGTCCATATGTGTGTGTGTGATATGATGATATTGCTACACTACTTTGTGTGCTATCAACACTTTAAAATTTCTTTGTATAAGACATATTATTCCAGTCTTTTATTTTTAACCTATCAATATTTATATATAAAGTGTCCAATGGAGAGTTTGTAGTTGGTTTTTTGTTGTTGTTGTTTTCTATTCTTCTTCTTCTTCCTTTTACTCCAACCTGACAATTTTGGCTGTTAGGAGAAAAATCCTCCATGGTTCCTTCTTGTGTCTGTATAGTTTTTGACCAAAGGTTTCAATTTTCTTCCCCCTCTATAATATCTTTTCAACAATGTTTGTATAATAAAGATCTTGTGAGAATCTCCCTCTGGAGTAGATTTGTTCAATGTTGAGGTTACCAGATATTACCTCTCCCTCTAGAGCAAATGTTGGGCAAGTTTGCCAGCAACTACTTACATAAAATAGGGGCTTCCATGGCTGTGCACTTCGGCCTCACTCTTTTGGGACTTGGGAAGACAAGGGACCAAAGGTGAACCTGCATTTGTTGCTGGCTACTGTGCCAGAAGTAAACAAGTCTTTAGTCTGTACCTGGTGGACTCTGTCTTCTGCCAGCATCTGTGAAACTAAAAACTTTAATCTTGAAAACCTCTCAATTCATTAGCAGTTCTTGGCATTATCTTTTGGTTGGAATGCTTAGACAATATTTATCTTTATCTTGTCTGGTGTTCTTTAGGTTTTCTGGATATGTAGTTTTAGTTTTTATCAAATTTGGAAAAGTTTTGGAAAGGTTTTCACTCCAATTCCACCCTCTTCAGCTATCTTCACTTGATATGGTCTTACAGGTCATGAGACACTAATAATTTTCCCATTATTATTCTCTATCTTATTTATTTCAGTTTGGATTTTTATGGCTAATTTTCAATCTCATTGACTTTTTTTTGCATCCAATATTCTGTTAGTATCTTTTAGTGAATTTTTAAATTTCAGATATTTTTCAGTTCTATAACTTCCATTTATTTCCTTTCTCTCTCTCTCTCTCTCTCTCTCTCTCTCTATCTATCTCTATCTCTTTCTTTCGTTCTTTCTTTCTTCTTTCTTTCTTTCCATTTTTGTACCAGGGATTGAACCCAGTGCCTCTTTAGCCACTGAGTCACATCCCAGCCTTTTAAAAAATCCTTTATTTAGGAGACAGAGTCTCCCTACATTGCTTAGGGCCTGGCTAAATTACTGAGGCTGTCTTTGAACTCATGATCCTTCTCACTCAGCCTCCTGAGCTGCTGGGATTACAGGCGTGTGCCACAGTGCCCAGCCTTTTTCTTTTTAATGTCTTTCATTTCTCTCTTTGGGTCCATTTTTTTTTTCCATTAAACTATTGCACATAGTTAATTTGTTTAAAATGTGTGTTTTAGTGTTTTTTTTTTTTTTTAAATAATCCTACCATGTCTTTTCGTTTCTGTTTTGTATGGCTTGATTTTCCTCCATTGTGTGCTCATTTTGCTTCACCTCAGCATGCCTAGTAATATTCTATTAGATACTAGACATTGTGTCTATTATGTACCTGGATTTTGTACTCTTCCTTTGAAGTGTTGGCCTTTGTTATGGTTGGCAGTGACTTGTAGATAAATCTGACTAGAATATCTTCCTTGTTCAAAATTCCACTTTTCATTTTCAGAATGAAAACATGGTCTGAAAATATGGGCATTTGTCTTGACTCTACGAGAGAAAAACTACATTTACATAACTTTTATTACAGTATATTTTATGTTCCATTTTCTAATTAGGTATTGTTAATTTCTCACTGTGTTTAATTTATGAATTAAAATTCATCATGTTTGTATGTATAGAAAAGGGCATGGTTTATATACATTTCAGTAGTAAGAACAGTTTCAGGCATCCACTGAGGATCTTGGAATGTATCTCCATGAAGAAAGGGGGAGGGAAACTACTATATTTTATAGTTGTTAAACTTCCTTAGGCTGGTCCTAGGATACATTTCTAATAGGGGTGATTTGCTGCTATGACGTGTGTCCACTGGTGTTTCTACTAAATGCCTCACTTGATCAACAAGGACTCTGAAGGCTAGCTTGTCAATACTCAAATATCTATATAAATTGACTGCTAGGGATTGTTCACCTTATAACTAGCCAATCCTTAACTACCTACCTGTGGAGGAGACAAAGATAGCCCATTTGACTGCAGGAGCAGCTTAGCACTCAGCAAAGAGTCAGTACAAACAATAGGAAGTTCTATTAAGGTCCCTGCAAAGTCTTCATTATCTGAATTTCTTCCCATAGCCCAATAGCTTTCAGCTAAACCAGACTTCCTACAATGTTTTTTTGTTTGTTTTTGGGTTTATATTGGGGACTGAGCCCCCAGCTGCTTTACCCCTGAGCTACATCCCCAGCCTTTTTTTTTTTCTTTATTTTGAGACAGGATCTCACTAAGTTGTTGAGATCCAAGTTTGAGGATCAAACTTGCGATCCTCCTGCCTCAGCTTCCTAAATTGCTGAGATCACCGGCATATACCACCATGCCTGATCTGAATTCTTATCTCTGTTTCATAACTCATTCTTTTTTTCAAAATATTTATTTCTTAGTTGTACACAATACCTTTATTTTGTTTATTTATTTTTATGTGGTGCTGAGGATGGAACCCAGGGCCTCGCACGTGCTGGGTGAGCGCTCTACTGCTGAGCCACAACTCCAGCCCCCATAACTCATTCCTAACTGAAGAAAATTGCTGTGCTCTGCTTATGAACTTCCTTGCATCGTGATACAGAATGTTCCTCCATAATCATGAATCTCATTCTTGCTTATTTGTCTTATCTGAAGGATCACAAGTCTTTCTTTTTTTCTTTTCTTTAACTTGTGTTTGATTTCTGGAAAACCATTGTTTTCAATATTTTTTCTTATTCTCTACTTGCTTACAGTGGGACCACATTGGGGTTACTTCCATGATTTTTAATAGAATTCCTTATAAAAGTACATGTGGCAACTTATCAAATTCTGGCAGTTACCAAATATATTGTTCACATCAATCCAATCTTTGGTAGTTTTTGTTTTTCAGTGCTAGAGCTTGAATCCAGGGCTTCATGAATGCTATATTCCCAGCCCTGGTAGTTATTTAATTTAGGAAAAAAAAATGTGACCCTTGCATTTGCAAGTTGGGAATTACTTATCCATTTAAGTAAATATTTTAGAAAGACACATAATATAATCATTATTTATCATATATAAAAGTAAAATGAATCACATCTTACCTTAAGTAAAGATTGTAGTTACTTAATCTTATTTGCTATGTCAACATACAATACACACTTTATTTATATTAAAACTAATTCATCTGACTGTTTAAAAACATTTAAACATTTGTTTAGGCAGGTCATTATTACTATGCAGCAGAAATCAGCCTTTCTGTTATTAAAGTGTAATTCTCAATATCTAAATTAACATATTAAATGCAAATATATAAAAATGAGTACAATATTTCAAAAGGCTACATATATTATGTATTATTATTATTATTAGTTGGAAAGCAGAAAATCTCCAATTTTTCAAAAAAAAATAAATAAAAATTAAAAAAAACAAAAGGAAAGTGGGAGTGCAATATGCTATTTAATAAAATTCAAGAGCCTGCAGCTTGGCTATTAACTGCATGTTCTGTGTTTATTTTGCAGAAATGACAGAATACTGCCTCTTATTATTCAAATGAAGTCAAATCCTGATATTCCACTTGATGTTAAAAATGCATACGTTTCGACTGGAACATGGTTTCTTCCCTGTAGACTCCAGGTTTATCAAGGTCACCACTACACAAAATTAAAATACACAAATAAAAAGAAATTCAATTAAAATTG